TGTAAGAGTTAAATTAAATGACACTAGTTTCATGCATTTTGAACATCATATGGGCTTCCTTTTTGCTACCGCAATCTACTATTTTTCACAGTCATGCATCATATAAGGCTTCATGTGTATCCATGCCAAGCAAGTGTCTATCATGCAATAACCTATAAGCCAGGTAGTCTACACGACCTAGTCATTTAGAATCTCACATGGCATACATGTATGTGTATATAAGAGCGGGACTCTTAGATGTATCATGCAATAATCTGATGTGGTTGAGTTTGATAGAGGAGGAAGAAGAGGAGCAGAGGAGTCTGGGAGCAGAGGAGTCTGGGAAGGGAGAACTAAAGAACAGATGAAGCTAAAGAGAAGAATAAGATGATAAGTAAACAATAATTCACACATACCTTCCATCCTCTTCATTACAACCACTATATATAACTACACTAATTATCTCTACCCACTAACATCACTCCTCTCTACAACTACCTACTAACACCACTCCTCTCTCTACAACTACCCACTAACACCACTCCTCTCTCTACAACTACCCACTTATCCATGTTGTGAATATTGGTTGCACGTATCATCCCCCCCCCCCTAAGGATCATTGTCCGCAAGGATAGTGAAAGGAAATTGCTTTTTGCCTCTCTGGTTCTTGTTGAACAATGTTATCGTCATCGATCATGAATAGTTGTGGACGTTTACAATAATGACCCGGAATGAACTTCTCATCACAATAGTAACATAACCCCTTCTCTCGACGGTCTCGCGCCTCTTGGTTAGTGATTTGACGGAATGTTGTTGTAGTAGTATTTGAACTTGCATTCACATTCTGAGCTGGTGGAGGACCTAATACGCCAGTTGTTGGGTTAGGGGTGGTCGCCTTTGATGCCACAGAATTTAGTTGGGAGCAAAATGGTTGGCTCAGTTGCTTGTGTAACTGATTTCGTTCCTCGATTAGTCGAGCGACTCCTATTGCATCTGCCAAGGTCTTGGACTGCTTAATTTTTACATCGAGGCGAATGTCCTCACAAAGCCCTGCAATAAAACAACCAATGAGAAAATTTTCAGGTAGGTTGTCAACGCGATGAGAAGGCTTTTTAAAAGCTTCCTGATAAGTTACAACAGTTGAGTCTTGTTTAAGCCGAGTTAGGGCTTCCGACGGGTCTTCGTAGTCTGTTGGACCAAAACGGAGAAGGACAACTTTGGTGAATTCATCCCATGTAAGTGATCCGCGAAATTTCGTCAACCACCTATGCTATTACAGGGCGATGCCTTCTAAATGGAAGGAGGCCAGTTGAACTTGTTGGTCTGGTGCAATGTTCTTAAAGTCGAAGTATTGTTCTGCCTTGTAAATCCAGCCCGTTGGGTCGTCTCCGTTAAATTTTGGGAAGGACAGCTTGAGGTGTTGACGAGGGTGGTCATTGATAGTGTTAGACAAGAAGTATGTGAGTGTGAGGATTCAACACGTGGGCTAGTATTTTGACTATGGAAGGCTCAAAGAGCTTGAAGCTCAATTAACACTTCTTGTAAGGTTGCATTCACCTGATCGAAACTAATCTCGTGTCATGCTAAGATTTCGTTGACATCGTTGCGGAATTCTACATTTGTTTTGCTGCGAGTGTCCATGGTCGGGACCGGCTCTGATACCAATGATGTGGTTGAATTTGATAGAGGAGGAAGAAGAGGAGCAGAGGAGTCTGGGAGCAGAGGAGTCTGGGAGCAGAGGAGTCTGGGAAGGGAGAACCAAAGAACAGGTGAAGCTAAAGAGAAGAATAAGATGATAAGTAAACAATAATTCACATATACTTCCATCCTCTCCGTTACAACCACTATATATAACTACACTAATTATCTCTACCCACTAACATCACTCCTCTACGACTACCTACTAACCCCACTCCTCTCTCTACAACTACCCACTAACACCACTCCTCTCTACAACTATCCACTAACACCACTCTTCTCTCTACAACTACCCACTTATCCATATTATGAATATTGGTTGCACGTATCATAATCTTTCCTCATTCTTCGACATTTTCGATGATCAGTTGAATACTAATCTTTTGCTTCCATATAGTTCTATTTGACATACTTCTTAGGTGGATTGATCGCCGATTACTTGCTTATTGCTCTATCTTTGTTTATTCAATCCAATATATGCCATTGAAACTCCATGATTGATTGTGCTATCTTGCCTCGATTACACTATTATCGTGATTAATAGCATTTAATTAACATGGTCTTGAATTCATGGATTGATAATATATTATGTCCCAGGGGACCGAATGCGTAGGTGAGAACGCTTACCGGTGGGTGTATAAATGAAGGCATGCGTGATTATTAACATATCTCATGATTAGGGAATTTAGAATCCTGAATATTGAGCTTGATTATTCGCTAATGATATTTGCAAGTTTTATTTCAATCATCAATTATATTATGAGCATTGATAGTTTATGGTTAATATCAATTAGTTTTAACTTTGATTGTCTACATTATCCTTTCATTTTCCCCATATGGAGTACCCCAGTTTCCATTATGGTTACCTATTAAGCCTTACGCTAAGCCCTACTTGTTTCTGCATCCGCCCGCAAGTAGCGGTCCAATTAAAGGCAAGGTGACCGCAAACCCCGATGAAGACTAGCTCTAGTATGCAAAAAGAAGTGTACATCTATTTATCCTAGTTATCTTTTTTGTTGTACTTTTGAGTTGTTAGATATGTAAGACTGTATGTTATAACTTTATGTTAAGACTATGTTGCACAATATTGTTCCCTTATGCTCTTCTAGCTATTGTGGTATTCTATGGATTCTGCAGTCAACTTGTGATTCTGATTGTTATTTATTTATGTTGCTTTATTCTGCTATTTGGTATTGATTGAAAAAGACTGTATATAAGACTTAAGCAGGATGACCCTCCAACTTATGGTCGGGTCATGCCCAATTTCTATATACTCTCAAGAGTCGCCTTGGTATATTTTGGGGGCCATTAAAAGCTAACTAATTACCACGTTGAGGGCTTATCATTTTCTGAACTTTTTACAAATCAAGTTCATGTAATAGACCTCTACATACATATGCCCTATCACGTGACGTCTTACATAAAACTCAAAACTTCAATTTTTATTATGTTTTTAATTTATGGAACCTATGATGATGCTTGGCACATTGGGTTATTTACTTTGTTCTCTTTATTTTTTATGTTCTCTAGTTTTTTAGATGGTGAAGTTTAAAGAATTCTTGATGATTCTTCTTATCTCCAATAATTTAAATTTTATCTAAACAATATACATAATTAATAAAAAAAACTCTATTTTACATGATCGGACATAAACTGAATTTTTAAGAAAGCAACCAAATAAAAATTTGATGACGTTAATAGAAATCTGAACCGCCAAATAAAAATTTGGTGATATAAATAGAAATTTGAAAGCATATGTTGCTGGACTTTAGCAAGAAGAATCAGGATATAATTACTTTATAATTTATCAACATAATTATGAAAGGTATATTTTTCTTAGTTTTTAAAACAGATCTTTAATTATATATTTATATACATGTTAAATAAGACTCTGATTTAAAATATATCACTATCTAGCTTCCATTGTGTAAGGGGTGGAATCAAATCTCATCGAATACAGATTCAATTCAAATTATTTCTCAGTATTCAAATTCGGTTTGAACATTGAAATCTTATTTGAATTTGACTAATATATATGTATGTATATCACTATCTAGCTTATATTGTGCAAGGGGTGGAATCAAATCTCATCGAATACAGATTCAATTCAAATTATTTCTCAGTATTCAAATTCGGTTTGAAGTTTGAACATTGAAATCTTTTTGAATTTGACTTATATATATATATATATATATATATATATATATATATATATATATATATATATATAGGGAATGATGGGTATGAGATGGCGACTCATTTTGCTAAATGAGTTACCAAGAAATAGAGTGGTGAGATCCACACCTTTTGATGTGACTAGCAAGCTGGGCTCATCACATGGTCATCTCTTGATAGTTTATTTAGCAATATGAGCCGCCACCTCATACACATTACTTTCACACACACACTTACTATTTATTCTCAAATATTCGTTAGCACATGTGGTATGTTGAGAGTTATATCCAATGTGCACTTAGGTTCAAATCCTAGGATCGGGCATTTTTTATATCCTCCTTTGTAATTTGTTGGGTTTTTTTCTTATTTTATTGTTGGCCTTTTTCCATACATATCCTTTAAGTTATATGTATTTTATATTTACCCTTCAAATCCTAGACTATTAAGTTGTTATAGGCATGTCCTATTAAATTATCTATATGGACCCATATTATTAACTTATTTACATGAGCCTAGCCTATCAAGTTATTAACATGAGCCTGAATGCGTAGGGGGAAAATAGCAAGCGAATGGTATTTGTAACAAATTATATTTATAAAATTAAAATTAAAAAATATAGATGAATAGTTAATAATCAATTGAATCAAATATACCTTTGTTTAAATTCTATTCATTTATAAATCGAATACTAAAAATAATTTGTTTACTGTTAAATGAACAGATAAATCGAATATAACTGATTATCTGGATGAATAATAATTGAACTATTTATTAATTATTTTGTTCATTTCCACCCCTATACTGTGTTGCATTATTTTCATTTTTTCCATCATATGATTTTAAAAGTATTATGCATGAAATTTTAATTTGAGAAGGAAAGGAAAGAACTAAAGTAATGGAACCTTCAAGAGAGGGAAGAGAGAGGGAAATGGAACCTACGTAATGATGAGTCAAATGACCAAATTACCCTTACCTTTCCTAAAATAACTATCTATTATTTAACAAATTGCAGGAATAACGATCCACTCCTTCACATTTGCCTAACCCCACAATGTTTTTAATATAGTAGTATAGATAAATTAAATTGTGAAATTTTTATCCTATTAAGTGATAAGCATCTTAAAAAATCAAAACACTCTAAAACTTACCAACTTAGGACCCTCTTTACTCCCATAAGATAGTGCTGCTGCAGCCAATGCATCCATACTGTTGTGGACTGGTAAATTTCCCTAGAGAAACAAGAGAGTCCAAAATTAGTAACAACAAAAATGCAGAAACACTTTGTACACGAACTCCTCAACAAACCTAAAATCAGACCTTGACGGGGACTTTTGGCGGCTTGTTCAGTACGATTATAGCAGAGTCCTGAAATTTCACAATCAGACTATCAATCTCAATAGCAAAAGCAAAATAAATATCATCAAACTCAAATTAAGATAAAAAATTATGCCTTATGAACCACAAGCCTCTGTAGGTATTCTATCTCATCCTTATTAGGATTCAGAGTCGCAGTCGGTATTGTGTCATATCTCTTGATTATCCTTGACTCTGCAACCGACACAGGAAGATGTATCTTCATGCCAACCTCCATCGTATCATCGTGCTTTATCTGCATTAACACTGCAACCCATAGTCACTGAATGTATGCATAATTTGGAAGGGGAAAATATTGCTCCCTTTTATAGTGTAAGAGTAAACCCATAATTTAAAAAGAAAAAACATTCCTTTATAATGTAAGTTGTAATTCAATTTGCAAATAGAACTAATAATATCATCAAAGTGGGGGGGGCGGGGGG